CCCCCCCCCCCCCCCCCCCCCCCGATTTTATCCCATTTTAGTGACCTGATACACATAGTATCATAGTTATTACTAGTATTTTACAAAGGCATTTTACAATTGGTCAATCCAAGAAAAAACAAAAATATGCTTCTTTCCACTAATTAGTTTAGAAAGAAATTTAATGTATTATACGGATTAGTTTTTAAACATTTTTTGAAGATAACTACAAAATATCTTATTTTTAATACTAAGATGAACATCGAATATTTTCTTTTTTTAAAGATTCAAAATTGAAATGGCTTTTGAATCTTTTTTAATAGGTAAAGATTGAGTACTTGAGACACCGAAATATTAGTACTCCGTAATAAATCCATACAACTTCCACAAGATTTTGGTTCTTTGCATTTTGAGTGTTTTTTTTCAAATATATTAGAATTGTAAATTCAATTTTAAGAGACAATCATTAATGAGACATTTTAGATTTATGATTGAAATGACACTAAAAATTTGTCTTTAAACAATTTTTTAAGTGCTTACCTTTAAACAATTTATGAAATCTAAAATTAACAATCAATTAAATTTGTAAATTATATTAGTAAAATACTAAATAAAATACAAAAAAAGTTCATGATCAATAGATTTAATACTCATTTTCAAAAGATTTTAAAAAATGTTAAAAGCAACATTAAAACCACTTACCCTAAGAAATGGAGTCGTACTTAGCTGGCCAAGAAAAAAACGCAACCAGGGATTCGAACACGGCCTAACCTGCTGGGTAGGTTGATATGGTGCGAAAATGTTGACATGAATAGCTCCAAAGATAATTAAATGGTAGCGACCATTTTCAACGAAAGATTACATGAATATTCCAGCATCCTCAGCTGGGCTTTACATATGCGCCAAAGAAGGTGCCATTAACACAAGATGACAAGAGAATGGGATAAAACGCTACGGGACAAGAGAAAGTCACCTCACACCGTTTCAAACGTGCAAAAATAAGTCACCTCCAAAGCTTCCTTCAGCTGAGAAACTTCATCCATCAGCCGAGTATTTTCCTCCTTCAGCTGAAGGTTTTCTGCCCCGACAGCCTTGGTCAGCCTCGCAAGTTCGTTTGTCTACCTCATGATGACGATGCTCACCTCGCAAGCTCTTCTCCCCTTATTTCACCTTCTCCTCCAACCGAGCGGTTTTAGAGGGAGAGCTTTCATTGAACTGGCCAGCAGCATCTAGCCCCACCTCACCGAGCTGTAAAAAGATAAAGATAAAAGAGTACTGGTTAAGAGAAGAGTTAAACGTAAAAGAAAGAAGTACTGGGAAGGGGAACAGAGTTACCTCTTTAAGCTTGAGAACAAGCTGAACCCATAGGTCCTCCACCGAGGGAGAACCCGGTTGGCCATCCATCCCCCCTCTTCCTCTTAGCCGAGAGATAGGTGGTTGCCACCTTCTTCACCGAGGCGTCTTCCCCTTGTCAGAAGAGGGATTCTTTGAGGCCTCCCGGTAGGTAGGGTTTCCTTCTCATCCTCAATCTCCACAGTCTCGGGTTGGACCGTGAAGGTTTTTGAAAAAGAAGCTGGTTAAGAGCCACTTGGGCCAGCTGCACTGGTCGTTGTTGGAATTTCGTAAGCATCGAACTCCATGTGTAAATGATTAAAAATAAATTGGTTAAGTACTAATAAAGGGATCGGTTCAAAATCAAAGATTGATTAAAAGAATGAAGTCAAACTTGAGCGACGACGGCACCCGACCTCTGTAATGTTGCCCAGGGAGGATATCATGCGTCTCCTACTTCATGGGCCTTCGAGGTACCCTCATCGCCTCGGTTAACTCGGCGCACTCAGCTTCTGAAGGAAAACTTCTCCCGTGTATGGGGATCACCCTACAGATGTGTTTTGCAGTATTCTTCCAACTACAGAGTGATGACCGGTAGGGCGTGCTCATGGTTTAACAGGTGGTCATTCCACCGCAAACCGGCCAGCGTAAAATTGACTTTCCGGAAGTCAATAAAAATAAAAGAGAATTTCCAACCCCAATTACTTTGGGGAAGGTCGGAAATTAACGCCTTGTTTTAGCGAGATTTGAAAAAAACAAAACCCTCACACTCGGCCTTCTTGGGGAGGATTTCGAACATAAAGACAAACAGGGGAAGTGACGGGTTTATTTGAATAAATTCACTAATATTTACAAAATAATTAAGCAACCAGTGGGCGTTTAAGGTTATCTGCTCGGGGAAAATGGAAAAGGCACAACAAACCCCAACTAGAAAAGGGCAAAGGGGAAAAACTATGCCAACCTCCAGGGATTTGATATGGAATCCTACCCTAGTTCCCTGGTGAGAGTCGACAATATTTGTCCACTTGGAGTTATACTAGAGAGTATAACCCTCAAGGAGCAATCAGTGTGATTTATTGAGGGCGACTTTTGAAACAACCAAGGGAATTTCCGTAACATTATCGGAAGGGGGGGGATAACCTACCTCCCAGAGGCGGTGCTCTCTTTCCTCCCAGGTCTTTTTTCGGGGTCAAAAGGACTTAGTTCCTAGCTAATATGCATGGGATTGAAAATCGAAACACCCTCGGGAATTGGCCTCTCCCGGGATGGAGATGATGATGATGATGAACCGTGGATGGGAGGAGGCCAGGAAGAGTTGCGCTTGAGTGGAAGAAAGAAAAAAACGGAAGAGAAGGCAATGAAGGCCATGAAGCCAACAAAAGATGAAGGCAATGAAGCCAACAAAAGCAGCGCCTTGTCCTCCTCTTCAATCTTCACATCAATGGATTCCAACGCTGTTGTAATCTTGTTGAATTCATCCAAGTGTCCATTAAATTTAGCTTCCTCCGCCATTTGGAGACCAAACAATCCTTTCTTCAAGTATAGCCTACTTGTCAACGATTTCGACTTGTACCGGCTCTCCGGCTTGTCCCAAATATCCACCGGGTTTGTCAAACCCAGAACGTCCCGAAGAGTATTATTTGCAAGACATAAGCATATTGTACTTGTTGCCATGTCCTTCAAACCCTCCCACTCTTCTTCCGACAATTTTTCCGGTTTGTCATTTTTCCGGTGTTTGGCCCACTCAGCATCCGTCATTTTTCTGTCCTATGAACCTTCACCTTCAGAGATTTGATTGTCCCTTCCCGAGTAAGAACACTTTTTACTTGTTGTTGTCACAGAGTAAAATCGCCACATCCATCGAAAGGTTTGACAGAAACATTCAAACTTTTTACTTATGCCATTTTTCAAGTTCTTTGATTTTCTTCTCTTACCGCTTAGAAATCCCTCTACCCGAAATGTAGCTTGGCTCTGATACCAATTGTTGGGATTTTAAGCGCGAAAGACTCTTAAAATATCAAGAACGTGAAAAATAACTAAACATACTACACAAGAAGAAAATATGAGAGAAAAATTATATCTTAACCCTCCATCTCTCTCTTAGGCTCTTAGCCGTGTGTGAAAAACCCACTCACACATATATTCAATGGTTGCCTTGCTTTTATAACCAAAGAAATACTCCCTATTCATGCATGGTTTGAGAAGAAGTCAAGAAATAAAGATCCACTTTGATTTGATCATATCCACCAAATCAATTTGTTGTCCAAGTCACGTTTCTTTCTTTTATTTTATTCTTTTTTCTTTCTTATTTTTCTTTCTTTTCATTAATTAAATCAAAATATCCCAACATAATATATACTGTACTCCATGTGTTTGTATTGAAATAAAGAAATATTTGCACTAAATAGCACTAAAACTTAAGTCATTTTCTCTAAATAGCACTTAAACTGTTTTATTTCCTAAATAACACTTAATAATGTCCAGTGATGACGAATATTTGTTTGAATAATGACTAATGCATAATGACTAAAAGTGCTATTTATGTAAATTTTTCTTGAAATAAACGTTTACGTTTCACTTTGAGGTGCGTGCAGTGTTACATATCATTTACATTTAATCATTTATAGTTTAAAAATGAAGACGACTGCATGCATTAGATGCATGCACTCATCGTAATAATTATGTGCCTTTCTAATTAATTATTACAATGTACGGAGTATATAATTTATGTACACTACATAGTACATTTATTCTTTATATATATATATATATATATATATATATATATATATATATATATATATATATATATATATATATATATATATATATATATATATGGCTCTCTACAGGTAAGGTCGGTAGTGATGATGAAGTGGTGGGTGGGTCAGTGGTGGTTGATTGATTAGGGATGCGGGGCGGCGGTGCACGGCTGAGGGAGGAGTTTACCGGAGAGGAGGGGCTTGACGTTGGCACATTCGGAGGTGGCGGGGCCATCTTTTCCGTTGTAAACGAGATTGATATCGGCGAGCTGCACCTGCTGGCACGGTATCTCTTTGCTGCATACCAGCTTCACCGCCACCTTGTTCGTCGACGTCCCCTTTATGTTCCTGAACGCCACGTCCACTATCTTTATTCTCGACGGAACCTGTTTTATCATTTTTGGTCGTCAAAATTTAGCATTAAAGTCATACTATGTCATATGGATGTACTCCCTCCCTTCCTTCACTACAAGAATGTAGCCTCAAAGAGACGAGTTCCATCCCAATTTAGTCTCTATTATGAGATAGAAAAGAGGGACGGAAATGAGACGAAAATAAGAGACTGAATTTCAGTCTCAAACAATACATTCTTGTAATGCTTTAAACTCTTCCCATTTTGACTTTGGGCCAAAATAAGGAAAATGTAATTTTGATTGACTTTCTAATTTTCCCCCTGATGTGATAGTTTGGTTATTAGTGAAAAAGTACGATGTGATAGGTAGTGTATGAAAAAGTAGAGGTAAAAGTGGTTTTTTAATAGAAAATGGAAGTGTTTTAGGGAATTGAAAAAAAACGAAAGAAGAAGGGTTTTATGAATATATATCAAAGATTGAAACTAATAGACTGCAAAAAGTCAAAACTGTAGGTGTACCTCGGCCTTGCATTGGTTATAGGGGCAATACTTTTGATCGATGTTAATGGGGTTTCCAATGGGACTGCCAACGTTGTTCATGATGATGTCGTGGAAGTGGAGGCTGCTGGCGGTGCTGGCGGGGCTAGCCGGCCAAGTCTTAACCCTAACGCCGTTCATGGTGCCCGTCAAGGTGCAGTTCCTCACCGTTATTCCGCTCACCGGCTTCTCGTTCGGGTACTTCCCCAAGCTCCCGATGCTGATCCCGTGGCCCGGCCCGCACGTCACCTTCTCCACGTTTATCTTGTCGCACCCGTCTCCGATCGACACGCAGTCGTCGCCGGTCTTTATGTTGGCGTCGGTGATGTTGATTCCGGCAGAGAGGCCGACGTGGATTCCGTCGGTGTTGGGGCTGTTTCCGGGAGCGTCTATTGTGAGTTTTTCCAGTGTCACGCCCTTGCATCCCACGATGTTCATGTGAAAGTATTTGCTGTTTCGGGATGTGACTCCACTTATTTTTGAGTTTGTCACGGTATTGAAGTACAAGCTCTGCATGCATGCATGCGTACATCATCAATCCCAAACATCGTGTTACTATAAATAACTTCATATTCTTATACTTTCTTCCTTTCTAAAAACTCTATGTGACTTTAATTTTATTTAGCTAAAAAGGAACACTCTTTGATCACAAACTAAAAAAATATATTGAATTATAATATAAATTAATTTATGATCAAATGTGTAACTATTTAACTAAAAAGTCCAAGTCAGAAGAGTTTTTAAGACCAAAGATAGTACTGGGTATGTTACTATAAATAACATCATATATAATATATTGAAAGTACAAAGTATATCAAAACTAAATCTTAAATTAAACTCAATACTCTTGAGTTTACATTATAATTAAAGATATTTTTCTATAATTTAATTGTGATCAAAATTTATAAAATTTAACCAAAAAGTCAAATTGTAAAAAAGCATTTGGCAGAACTTTCTAAATAAAATTAAAACATACTACATACTTCATGCACTAAAATAAGTTTTGTTTATGTTTTTATACTAAAATATGATTTCTAATGTCAATATATAATACCATAATATTGAAATTTCAATATACAATTTAAATTACGCATATCATCATAGTGTAATAATCTTATTTTGAAGATAAAGACATAGAAATCTTATTTTAGTTTTAGTTTCACTCATGTACTCTTGTTTTGAAAGAATAAATATAGAAATCTTAGGCCAAATAGCTCTGGTGCCCCCGTGGTTTGGAAAATTGGCATCAATATTTCTTCTGTTTTCAACACTTATTTTTAAAACCGCCGTGGTTTCAAAACGTTGCACCCACACCCCTCTGATCATTTTCCGGCCATTTTCCGGCGAAGAGGGGGCATTGGCGCATAATTTCTAAACCATAAGGGGCATTAGTGCTCATTTCTTATTTTCGTTTATTATTTGTGTTTTCCTTTTTTTAAAAAATATTTTCTATCTCTTTTTCTTGTTCCTAGAATTTTTTTAAAATATATTTTCAATTTTTTTATAATATTTTAAAAATTTTAAAATTCTTTGTGTTTGGAATAAAAATAAAAATAAAAAATTAACATACATTACATATATCTCAAATTAAACATTTTCACTTTTTTTACTTAGAATAATTTTTTGGAAAGATCAATATAAACCCAGAATAAAAAATAAAAATATGGAAAAAAGAAATGAAAAAAATTAAAATACGCAAAAAAAGTCTTATACAAAAAACAAATTAGACACGCCTAAAAAAGTCCTTAGAATTGAGATGTCCAATAAGGATATTCATTTTTATTTTCATATAAATTTCTTTCTTATTTTATTCCTTATTTTTTTGAAGTTCTAAAAAAGATCTACTTTTTTCATAAAAAAATTTGTTAATTGGAGACATACATATGCATATATGTTAATTTTTTTTCAAACAAAAATAACTTTATATTTTAAGAACATTATAAAAATAATTTTAAAAAACCTTTATTAATAAATGAAACAAAAAAAGGAAAAAACAAAAAATAAGCGAGAAAAAAATCAGCACTGATACCCCCTATGGTTTAAAAAATATGCACCAATGCCGCCCTTCTTCTCCGGAAAAATGGCCGGAAAATTATCAGAGGGGGCACGGGAGCAGCATTTTGAAACCACAGGGACTTTAGAAATAAGTTTTTAAAACAGATGGGGTATTGATGTCTGTTTTGCAAACCACGAGGGGTACTGGCGCTATTTGGCCCATATTCATATACTCCCTCCCTTCCATAAAACTCATCATCTTTCGTTTTTTTTCAATTCCCTAAAACATTTCCACTTTCTATAAAAAACCACATTTACCTCTAGTTTTTCATACCCTACCTATCACATCATACTTTTTTTACTAATAACCAAACTATCACATCTTACTTTTACCCATCACATCACGGGAAAAATTGAAAAGTCAACCAAAATTACACTTTTCTTATTTTGGCCCAAAGTCAAAATAAGAATGTTTTAAGGAACGGAGGGAGTACTTTCTTCCTTTCTAAAAACTCTTTCGCACTTTAATTTTATTTGGTTAAACAGTGACACTCTTTGATCATAAGTTGTAAAAAAATATATTGAATTATAATATAAATTAATTTATGATCAAGAGTGTCACTATTTAACCAAAACGTCAAAACCAGAAGAGTTTTTAAGACCAAAGATGGTATATATGTTACTATAAATAACATCATATATAATCTATTGAAAATACAAAGTATATCAAAACTAAATCTGGAATTAAACTCAATACTGTTGAGTTTAGATTATAATTAAAAATATTTTTTCTACTCCCTCCGTTCCACAAAACCTTTCTCCTTTCGTTTTTTTTTGTTTTCCACAAAACACTTCCACTTTCTATTAAAAAACTACTTTTACCCCTACTTTTTCATACCCTACCTATTATATCATACTTTTTCACTAATAACCAAACTATCACATCTTACTTTTTCCCATCACATCAGGGGCAAAATTAGAAAGTTAACCAAAATTACACTTTCCTTATTTTTGTCCAAAATCAAAATAGGAATGGTTTTGTGGAACGGAAGGAGTATAATTTAATTGTGATCAAAATTTATAAAATTTAACCAAAAAAGTCAAATTGTAAAAAAACATTTGGCAGAACTTTCTAAATAAAACTAAAACATACTACATACTTCATGCACTAAAAAAATATTTTTTATGTTTTTATACTAAAATAGAATTTCTAATGTGAATGTATAATACTAAAAAATATTGAAATTTCAATGTACAATTTAAATTACGCATATCATCACAGTGTAATAATCGTAGTTTGAAGATAAAGACAGAGAAATTTTATTTTAGTTTTAGTTTCACTGTTGTACTCTTGTTTTGAAAGTATAAATATAGAAATCTTATTTTTGTTATTTTAATGATTTCTTTAATTTGTTGGGATGGAGGAATTAATATACTCCCTCCATTCCAAAAAATTATATAGAGTTTGATTGTTTTAGTCAATCTGTTACACACTATGACCATAAATTATACTCATTCCGGTCCTAAAAACCTTTCACGTTTTGAATTTTTTAGTTAAACAATGACATTTTTTATTATAAATTAAACACAATCTAAATAAACAAATGATATTAAAATTTGATATACTCCTTCCGTCCCTAAATAAACTTCCCTTTTCGTTTTTTCTTTGTCCCCAAATAAACTTCTTTTCCCCCTTAAAAAACTTCTTTTACCCCTTACTTTTTCATACCCTACATATCACATCATATTTTTTTACTAATAATCTACATATCACATCTTATTTTTACACATCACATCAAGGATATTTTTGAAAAGTCAACACAAAAATATTCCTTCCTTGAATTCTCAAAAAGTAAAAAAGGTATGTTTATTTATGGACGGAGGGAGCTGAGTATCAAAACCATATCCTAAGATGAACACAAAAAACCAAAACAAGAAGAATTTTTAAGACCGGAGATACAGTATAACAATTTGATACTCGGTATAAAAAAATTAATCCTAAAGGATACTCTATATTTTTTGGGACGGTGGAATTACAGAGTACAAATGTACAATATACGGAGTATCTATGTCTCCACTCCACGTCATATCATTATGAGATTAGAAGAAATTATACTGAGTATCAATTAGTTTTGACATTTTGATATTAGAGATTAATTATTTAATTAATGCTCTCTCCCGGCCTCCTTCCCTAGCTAGTCCATATATATATTGAATGTGTCTAACTTTGATTAAGTTCAAATTAAATAAAAACCCCTTCTTATATAGTAGTAAAAAAAAGAGTAGAAAAAGAAGAAAATTAATTAAAACATGAGAGAAAATGAGTACTCCTAGCATCTAGCTAGTACCAATTTTTTTTTTTAAAAAAAGAGTATAATGTGCAATTTAATCGCACTAAATATAAATATATAATGTCTGAGCCGACATAAAATACAATAATTACTTACAACGGGGAGCTGACAGACTTTGACGGCTTTGGCGCAATTATTTTTCCAGGCAAGGGCACCCTTGCCGTCGAATATGCCGCCGGTGAGAGTTAACCGGTCGACGTTAGAGAAGAGCACCCACGTGTTTTTGAACAAGGCGGGGTCCTCCAGAGCCACCACCGTCGCCCCTGTGGCCTTCACGGCAATGGGCCCTTTGCACGGGCCGCGAAACGCCACCGGCCCGGCCGCGTAAGTCCCGGCCGGGAACGTCACCGTGTTTTGCGCCGGCGCTCTGCATGCTGCGTCCCACGCCGCCGTGAACGCCTTGCTGTCGTCCGCTTTGCCGTCGCCCTTGGCGCCGTGCTTTTTGACGTCGAAGTCGGCGCCATGCACGCCGCCTCCCATCGTCGTTAGTAAATAGGCGGCCAAACAGAACCCCACCATGCATGCTTCAATTATCTTTGTGGATCCCATTGTTTCTTTCTTTCTTTTTTTTCTTCTTAGCTTATTAATTAGGGAGTGTACTAATTAATTATTAGCTCGGTTTTATTTATAAGCTTTTTGATTATTAATAATTAGTGTTCTTGTTTTTCTCTTGGGGTGATTAATTCTTGGGTTTGTATTTATAGGGCGATACAGATGATTGAGAAAGTGAAGTTCAAGACGACATTTTGTTCTGTTATTATTCTGCCTAAAGTAGGTTTTTAATTAACTACTTGTGTCTTTATCAAGATCATACTTATTACCTAATTTGAGTTATTTTTATGGCCCTTATTATTATAAATTGTAGATGTGGTTTAATATTCCTTTCCTGAATATTTTTCTCTTTTCTTTTTTCATTTGTCTCAATTAAAAAACATTTCTCATTTCTATTAAAAAGACATTTTACCAATATTAATTCTTAACCTACCTATTACATCATATTTATTCAATATTAATCTACTTATCAAATCTTACTTTTACTCTTCACATCTAAGTATATTTTTGGAAACTCAACAACAAAGTATACCTCTCTTAAATTTCTTAAAAATCACAATCTTGGGATTTTTGGAAATTAATATTTCATGTGTATAATTGGATTTTTGAAAATTAATACTCCCTCCGTCCCAAATTATTTGTCACATTTCTATTACCGAGACAAAATATCAAGTTTTTTCAATTCATTTTATTTACATATTGGTAAAGAAATAAAAAATAAAAAGTACATATCAAAAAACTACATGAAAAGTTCTTTGAAATAAGAGGTGTCAAGAATATTTTATTTTATCAAATAACTAATGAAAACATAGAGTTAAACAAAAGTTACCGCAATTGTTGAAAAAGCAAATGTGACAAATAATTTGGGACGGAGGGAGTAATACGCGCCTTAGGGGCGGTACTCGCCATACACAATATTTTTTCTAGTCTCAAATCCATCTTCACATTTGACCTTTTGGATCAAATTTCATATACTTTGATTATAATTTGTGTATATTCAATAATTAGTACTCCCTTTGTCCCATTTTAAAAAGTTTGTTTCGGTTTGGGATGTTTGAGTAAGATCTATTTCAACTCAATTTTTATTAGAATTGGGGTGGGGTTATAAAATAAAATATATATATTTAAAAACTATATCAAAAACCCTTAAAAACAAATGGTGACATGACTATATTTTTATCAAATGACTAACAAGAATTAATAAAGAAAGTGAATCAAGTTTCATCTTGAATTGAGAATAACAAACATGTTATTTAATTTAGAACGGATAGAGTACTATAAATAGATGGTTTTTCATATTTTATCTTCTATTATTAAATATTTTATTCTTTAATTATCTTTTGTTACTCTTCAATCCCACATATATGTTAAAATGCATGAGTTCAACTTTCTTTGTATGGTTAGGTATTGACTTACATGTTTTGATAATTGAAAAACATAAGTTATTCAAGTCAAGAATAAAGTACTACTCCCCCGTCCGGAAATATTGTTCTCATTTTCTTGTTTGGTCCGTCTGGAAATATTCTTCACATTTCCTTTTTTAGTCTACTTTTTAAGGATAAATTCTAATAATACCCTTCTATTTTATCTCTAATCTACTTTTTTATTGCTTTTTTAATAAGAAAAGGAGATTTAAAAGTTTATAATATGTGCATTTTTGAAAATTTGGCATTTTTTTACTACTCCTTAATAAGCGTGCCAAGTCAACCCGGGAAGAATATTCCCGGACGGAGGGAGTATATTGGAAAATACAAAGACTTGAAGTTCTAAATCCCTTAAGTATTCAAGAAGGAGCACAAGATTTAATGATGACTAAGACGCCTAATAGAGCGCCTAACTGAAATGAAGAAGAAGATTTCTAAAGATTTTAAATTTATTTGAATCTTAGGAAATATTGTAAGGATGACCAAAATATTCTTCACACCAAATTTATTTTTATGAGAATTATATAAAAATTTTACTTAATTTGGAGTCAGTTGAAAAATCCTTTTTTACTGAGTCAGTTACAAAAGGTGTGTCAAACATTTATCAAAATATTTGTTTTGATATATTAGAAAATATTTTTGGTAAGCAAAAATATTTTATTCAAATATTTTTGAAAATCGTTTGATTGATACACAAAATATTTTTTCAGACTCACTTTTGCACCCCAACTAAATTCAAATTCATATTTTGAATTTAGATTCATCATTGGGTAATTGAAACATATCTATTCAATGTCTTTTACACATGGGAGACATGAATATATTTCCCCGGAAAATGCTAGGGATACACCAAAAGTGTACCCCAAACATCCCCCACCCCCTCCATCTCTACACAAAAAGCAAGAAAAATTAAAAAAAATAAAAAATAAAAAAAATAAAATGAATGGTAGAAAGGGGAGTGGTGTACATTTGGGGTACACATTTGATGTACCTCTAGCATATCCCTAAGTGTACATTTGGGGTACACATTTGATGGTATTTAGAAACTCAGTGGTGTGTAAATCTGCAGTTAAGCTATAGCTCATGTCAGATTGGCATATGGTATCTGCATTATAATAAACTCGTTCCTCCAAAGCGTTTTTTGACATCGTGTATGTACTTGTTTATCTATTCAACAACTTCCAATTTCGGGGGCTAATATAGCTATCTCCTCTAGTATTGTACTGTCTACAACAACACAAAAAGTTGAAAAGAATATTTCTTCAACAATGGCTTTGATTGGATCATTACCATGTTGAACCAAAAGATATGATGAAATTGTAATATCAATGATACCATCATTTGGACCACCTGCCTTGCCATCACGAGTACTCGCAATCCAATTTGTGAATTGCTGGAGTTCAATTGAATTTTATAAACCCTTACCCATTAGGAGCATATTCTTTGTTAGTTTCAAGACATTGCAATCTTTCCATAGGTAAGATGAATTAATTGTTGTATTCACAAAGTCTTGTCTCATTCTTTTAGGCACCATGGAAAATATTTGTCTAAAATCTCCACCAAACACGATTGTTATTCCATCAAAAGGTTTGAATTGATTACCAGCATCTTTCACTCATAAAATATCCTTCAAGCTTATATCCAATGCTTCAAAGAAGTACTTGTGAGTCACAGGTGTCTCATCCCATATTATAATCTTACTTTTGACTATGAGCTCAGCAAGAGGATTACCTTGGTGAATATGACACGTCAACTCCTCATAAGGAGTGATAGGAATTTTAAAATGTGAATGTGCGGTTCTTCCACCAAGTAAAAGGAGAGCTGCAAATCCACTTGATGCAACATTTAAACGAATATCTCCTTTGGACCGCAATGTCGCAGATAATGTTCTCCACAAAAAGGTTTTTCCAGTGCATCCGTATCCATACACAAAAAACATACCACCATCATTTCCTTCTATTGTACGCATAATCGAAGAGTACACATGTTTTTGCTCTTCAGTCATTTGAGACAATAATTTTGTATGCTTGGTGGTCATCTCTTTTAGATCGTAGCACAATTCATCATTGATTAGTCTATTTTCAAAAACATGAAAATATTGTTCTTATATGGCATGGGATGATAATCTCGCAAGCTCTTTCCATAACTTCACAATAAAGATTTTATCTTTGCAAGTGCATAGCTCTTGATCTCCTCATATGTAAGGTGTAAATCTATAAAATTAAAACTGAAGATCATTAATTTTCTCAATTATATTGTTATTAAAAATTAAGTAAAATGACTAATGTCAATATATTAACATACCAGGGTATTGTAAAACTCTGCGTTGACGATAAAATTTAGTATTTGTCAAAGTAATAGAACTTTCAATTTTAACGACGAGTGACAGGAAAGTACACTCAGAGTACATTACTATAAATTTTAAATATTTTTGGAGTTCATTGTAAATAATGTGGACTGGATATTTTTTAGCAAAAAATCAAAAATAACTCAAAATATTTTTTTAAACTATGTGAAACTTAAAATTTTTTAATAGAAAATTGAGAGTATTTTTTCTCATTAGTGTCAAACACTCTCTTCTAATATCCGAGTCCGCACCCGCATATGGTGATTGCATCCTTTGCAATTCGGAATCGGACCGAGCCTGGTTCGAATATTATTACAGTAATAAAAAAAGAAAAAAAAATAGGAAATGGGCATATTGAAATCCTTCCGCTTGAATATAAAACTTTCCAAATAGGAAATGAAGCAGAGAAAAGAGGGCAGATAGAGGAGGAAGAAGAAAAGGCCCTCCCATTTTAGTACTCACAGTACTGCCTCCTCTATCCGGATCTTAGCAGTTTTTGTTCGATCGACAACTTGTTGATCTGGGTATTGAATTTCATTTCATTTCACATTTTTATTTAAATCTACAAGATCATACTTCATTGGATTGTGTGGTTTGTTACTCATGAGACATGATTGAGTGGTGATGAGCCCATTGAATCGATTTCCAGAAATCCGAAAGAATTATATCTCCTTGTTTTTTTCGGCACATCTATGGATCCCAATCTAGATTGATCGTCTTAAGATCTGATGATGTTGTATCACCACTATGCAGAATCTATTTAACATCTTGTCGTTTCTTATCTTGTTTATGTAGTTGATAAATCTGATGCTTTCTTCTTGATTTTAAAGATTCGATTCTTAACGATTGATTGATTGATCCTTAGTTCTCCCTTGGCATTTCTGTTTTTTTTCAAGTAATAAACATCGATGGGTTTGTTTATTTTTGTGAGTTTAGTAATGGGATTCATTTGTTGGGCAGTAAAATGCAATCTGATCTTGGGAAGTTATTCATCGGTGGAATTTCCTGGGATACAACTGAAGAGCATCTGAAGGAGTATTTCAGTGCTTATGGGGAGGTTTTGGAAGCTGTGATTATGAAGGATAGGACAACTGGGCGTGCCCGTGGCTTCGGTTTTATAGTGTTTAGTGATCCCACTGTTGCTGACAGAGTTATCAAGGAGAAACACAACATTGATGGCAGGATAGTAAGCACTGTTCACTCATTAGTGTTCCTTGATTGAAAGCATAGCACATTCTGTTTGTCTGATCTCTAGATTAAATGAATGAAACCATTTCTGCATAATCTAATCTTGCAAGATGGTAGTATTTCCTTGCCAAGCTTGCAAGCCTTGCTCCTAAACTCAAATTTAATTTGAATTCCACAATTGCTTGAAGTTGAGGAACTTGGTGTTTGTTTCTGATGTTATCATGCAGGTTGAGGCCAAGAAAGCTGTTCCTAGGGATGACCAGAGCACTATGAGCCGAAGCAGTAGCAGCATTCAAGGATCTCCCGGTCCAAGGCGCACAAGGAAGATTTTTGTTGGTGGATTAGCATCCACGGTCACAGAGAGTGACTTCAAGAAGTATTTTGAACAGTTTGGGACGATAACAGACGTGGTGGTAATGTATGATCACAACACTCAGAGGCCAAGAGGCTTTGGATTCATAACTTATGACTCCGAGGATGCAGTGGACAAAGTCTTGCTGAAGACTTTTCATGAACTGAATGGTAAAATGGTTGAGGTCAAGCGTGCAGTTCCTAAGGAGTTATCTCCTGCTCCTACTACCCGAAGCCCACTTGGGGGTGGATACAGCTATGGATTGAGCAGGATTGACAATTTACTCAATGGGTATTCACAAACTTACTCACCGAGTGCAGTTGGAGGAGGGTATGGACTCAGGATGGACAGTAGGTTCAGCCCTTTACTCGGGGGCAGAAGCAACTATGCTCCGTTTGGCTCTGGTTATGGAGTGGGCCTCAACTTTGAGCCCGGATTGAGCCCAGGGTATGGAGGAAGTGCAAATTTCGACACTAGTTTGACCTACGGACGCGGACCTTATTATGCTAATAATAATAACAACAACAACACAAGTAGGTTCGGCAGTCTAATGGGGCTTGATGGAGGGAATGGAGGAAACTCTTCCTTTTTCAGCTCAACTAGGAATCTGTGGGGTAATGGAGGGTCAAACTACGACATAAACCCCACAAGCTCAAACAATTTGGGTGGGTCTGGGAACGGAAGCCTTAGTGGGGGATTGCTTAACAACAACAACAACAACAGAGGAGTTTGGGGTTCATCTGCCATTTCTGTGCAGCAGGGTGGAAGGAATGTTTCTGGCCAAAGTGGGAATCTTGGTTATGGAGGTGCTAATAATAGTTTTTATGGTTTAACTGGAGGGACACCTGGTAGAAACTTTGCAGGCAATGATAGGTCTTTTGCTGAGTTTTATGACAATGACTTCAAGTACGCCGATCCTACTTGGGGCGAGCGTGACACATCCTTTGCTTATCTTACCGGTGGCAACACATCCTCTGAGATTCCCCCTCACAGCTCTGCAGGTTCTGTTGGTAGTAATGGTGTTACAAATAGACAAAATTATCGAGGTAAGCTTCTTCCAATTAACCCTCTAAACTTTTCATATTTACACATTCATTCTTGATTCATGCTTGTTCCTTTTTATAGTTCCATATCATATCAATTAGGGTGTTTGATTATGTTCAGAAAAAAAAGGTTTATTTTTTTAATCATGTTGTGCCCTCTCAATTGAAGGATGATAAACAACTTAGTATCATGTTGTCTCAAATTAAGATTTAAGTAGAGCAGCCTTTAGATTAAATAAAGAAACTTTGAGGCTCAATGATCATCAACTTTTTCTTATTTAGAATGCCCTTAAATGTTGGTTTTAGGCTTGAGATTGATTAAATATACTCCCTTTGTCCCATAAAAAGAGTCATCTTACTTAAAAGTGGAGGTACATTTAGGCCATGCTATTTTGGATTGGAAAAATTGGCTTCTAACTTTTTCCAACTCCTTCAAGTTTCTTCCAATTTTTTCCATTTCCTTCCAACAACGAATTAAAAAAGGTATTTTACATACGATGAATATACAATAACATTATATATCCAAATTTATAACATACCACCTTAAACACGGGTAAGGATGAATTCTTTTTTTATCCAAAATTAGAGTTTTCTTACATATTTATTTAGGTAATCATTTAATGGAGTGACTTTTCAACACTTTAATTCTTCCAAAATTTTCCAATTTTCAGTTTCTTCCAACATCTAAGTCTGAAATTTTGTTCCAAAAGAACTTAGTACCCTACTAAAATAGTAAGATTGACAAGTTGTACACTCATCAAAGTGGACTCTTCTTATGGGAGGGAGGCAGTAATTTTTTTTTCTTTTGATGTCCTTTAACAACATGCTTCACTCAGATATTACTTGGAGTTTTAACCTTTTGCTGATTTTTTTTTTCACCTGCAGGCATTGGCGGTTAGGTAAATTTTGCAAACCGGGTTTTGATGCTTGTCAGGGCTTGTTGTAGCAGTGAAACCATGCATGAATTTTGCATTACTCTTCCATAGCATATTTGAATTTAAGTGTTGAAATAGTTGGAAATCATTTCCAGGAGCTGACTAGAGAGAGTTTTTATTTTTCTTTTTCTTTATTTTGGTTATATTTTGTGTTAAGTAGTTGAGTATTTCCCTTAGGACTTCCATTTTTGTCTTAAGAGTGAGTGAGGTGTAAACTCAGACGGCGGCGTATAGTCAGAAATGTATCTTTGCATCTCCGGTGAGACGGCGGGTCCCAATACTTAAGAAACACTTAGACTAGAAAATTTCTGGTTTTAAATTTTAGAGTTTGTGCTTTTTTTTTCTCTGTAATGACTGCAAATTTTGCAGTTTCCTCTTAGATTTTCTTATTGCCTTAAAATGTAGGCTTTCATTTGAAGGTATGTATGGGAGGTTGGTTCTTGATCTGGTGATTCCCACATAGGGTTCCCCATGAATAAATGTCAAAACTTAAAGCTTCCCCCTTTGTGTATTTTAATATTTTCTACATAAATTTCTTCTTCTTTTGCTGTCTTTTCTTGAACTATTAACTTTATTATAATGTACTCTCGTAGTATCTGTTTATGTATACTTTTTAATTTACTGAAGTACAAAATGTTCCTATAAGGGTTTGAATCTGTGACCTTTCATTTCATAGAGTTACAGTTATGTCGTTTGACGACAACATTTTGGTTTTTAAATGTTATTTTCTTATGATAAATACATGAGAAAATCAATGTCACCCCATGATTGAAGGTTAGCCGGTGAAATCGGGTGCGGCAAAGGGACATTGTCAAAGACAGAGTTCCCAGCTTGCCACACCTGATTCACGACGCTCCCGTTCCTCAACGGCCCGATCGTCGCGAAAATCACCATTTCTCCGGCGGCGTACTCCGCCGACAACCCAGAGACGCGGAATAAGACTCTGGCAGGCCCGAGGGACGGGTCATAGCTCGTTATGGAAGTGGTGTAGGCTGTCATGCTGCCGTTGGAGGCGCGGAAGGCAACAAGTGCCTGCGTGCCGACCATGCCCGTCTCGAAAGGGTTGATGCCCCACGCAACCCACCCTTGCGGCGCCTGTTTTGCCCGGTAGGCGATCGTGACTTTTCCGGTGGACGGGGCGTAGTTCCAATGCAGGTGGGCGTCTAAGTAGGGAAGGTCGGTGCACGAGCTGAAGGTTCGGTTCGAGCGGAAGGCGTAGGTGGAGCAATTTTCGGAGGAGACGGCGGCGGAAAGGGAGGACGAGGTTAGAATTGCGGCGGCGAGGAGGAATAGGAGGCGGCGGCGTAGATGTGATGGTGGTATTGAAGACATTTGCAAGCCAGGATTAACCTTGTGGGAATTAGGTCAGTTTTTATAGTACTCCAAAACCATGCATACAAGATGAGTTTTTTTTTTTGGGTGAAACCGTTAGAGGAGTTCTATCGCACCCTTGTTCTACTCAAGACCAGCTATTCCACGCAGTACACATTTCCTTTCCTTTTTTTAACAGAAATTTACTTAAATAGGACTAAAACATAATGATTTTCCCAATATAGGGTCATATGTTTTTATTTTCCAATGTAGGACCTTTGGTCATTATGAAGTAGTCATTATTCAAGTAAATGTTCATCATTACTGGACATTATTCCTCCCACTAGGTCATTATTAAGTCATATTTAAGGAATAAAAAAGTTTAAGTCCTACATTAGGAAAGTCATTATGTTTTAGTCCTATTTAGTGCAAATTTCACTTTTTTTAAATTATTTTCTAATGAATTTGATTATTACTTTCACCAAAGACCTTGTGGTCCACTAACATAATAGTCTCTCTCAAATGAGAGGTCACAAGTTTGATCCTCAGTTAGGATAATAATCCTACGTGTTTAATGAGTTAAGAATATATGAACAGATACTACATTATAATAGATTAAAAAATTTATTACTTTTAATAGCACGAAGATTAAAAAATATTTACTACTCCCTCCGTCTTGTTTTAAATCCTCTATTTTGACTTTTGAGCATATTTAAGAAAGAGAAAAAATAGAGTTAATTTTTCGAAATTGTCATTACTTTTTGGAAGGTGCCAATGAATGAGAAGATAAGGTGGAGAAAAGTGACTTATTTTAGGGGTAGTTTAGGTATTTTACTCTTAAAAGTTTACGATAACAAGTAACAGACAACTTATTTTGGGATGGAGAAAAAAAGCAAACATGCAATTTAAAATGGGACAGAGAGAGTATTTTCTTTATGGAATACTCGTCTAATTTAATTTTTTTAAGTTAAACAAGATAGACTTTGATCAATAATTTAATATAAATTGTAATCCGTATTATTCCGTAGATATTACTTTGTAGTACAAAATTGATTTTTTTTAGATTTATCTTGCGAAAAATTATTTAATTCTATCAATATGCAATGGGGATTTATTGTAATTGATGATTATAGTTTCTTTAGTTTACTCAAGAATAATTTTTGGACTACAATGTCTTATTGTCTTTATCTAAAAAGGGATAGAGATAAAAAAAAAGTTTAAAAATTACTTTGTAGTTTAGAATAGATTAGGGAGAAAATTGGACTACGTGGTCTCAAAGTCAGGGACGAGAAATTGGAATCAATGAAAGATGTAGGAGAAAAGCCTGTTCCTATCGTTTTATACTTTATAGGTTTGGAGGTAAATTATACTCCTAGAGCACTGGAAATGAGTGTAACACCCTTCGTGTTAAACACCACCCCTTGCTGCGTTATAAGGGCGTTACATGTCATGCATTAAACGTTTAACGCAACTGAAGCAATGAAAGAGCNTACAATTCTCTTTTTTTCTCATATTTCATATCTTTCTCTCTTATTTTTAAATTTTTAACATAACTTTCTTTGGTCCTTCATCCGGTCCTCCGTCCGATTTGAGCCAAATGAGTATGCGATGTGGCTTTACCAAACGGACGAGAATAATCTGACATTTTACAAAATCCAAACCTCGGTGAATCTAGATTCGGTTTCCGAAACTCAACCAAAACCAAGTGAACAAAAAAAGTGCACGTTGGAAGAGTCACAAGCCGCACTAGATGGCCGAAAAGCCGATGACCGAGCTGAGGTGGCATGGTTAATTCAAAAATGGACACCGGAGAAAGAAAATTTGTCAGCGTCCGCGTGAGTCGACGTCTCGGAGCATCCTATCGTTGGTAAAATTATATAAATTTTTTAATATATAATTAATATGTTCTTTTTATGTATTTGTGTAAAATTGTAGATTTTTGTTAAATTATACTCCCTCCGGTCCTAAAAATATTTTCTATATTGACTTTTTTGGTCAAACAGTGTCTCTCTTTGACCACAAAAACATAGTCTAAATTAATAAGTGATATAAAAATTTGGCATATGTTGACCAAAAAAGTCAAAATAGAAAATATTTTTAGAACCGGAATGAGTATATTTTGAAGGTTCCGATCAAACAAGGGTTGCGATGTGGATCATATTGAGGAGAAGTTCTTTGCCGCAATAAACAAGGACCTCTACTAGCAACCGGAGACCAACTTACTTCCAAATGGGCAACATAAATAGAAAAGTCCAAAAGTTTATCAATGTGTACGAGGAATGCACCCCGTCCAAGAAAATTAAAGTGGGATGAACGATGCCAATATTCAACGGCAAACCACCGCTCGGTATCAAGATCGACGACGGACACCAACGTAAAGTCCTCGTTGATTTTTGGAAAGTTTTAAGTTGTTCACCGAAATGGCAACAGATCTGCAACCCTGAGGTTATATCATCAAAGAAAAGATCCTCCGTCGAGGTTGATGCAGAAGGAGGAAGAGGTAGTGATGACCGTACGAGAATAGCTACTAAGACTAGAACAGTTGTATAGCTAGTGCAGCTTCAACCTGTAGCAAATTGGTTGGTCTGACTCATTTGCGGTGACTGATTTCTCAAATTAACAGTATATCCGAGATCTTTCAGCGACACTCCCTTTTGCGGAGGAGGAAGATACAGCGGAGAGACACATGCGGGACGACGGTGGCACTCCTGGACGTGAGCCTTTTTATGCTAAAAATAGAAGATGAGTGCCAACCTATTGCACAAGTCGCCTGCAGTGATGTGAGGAAGAATATAGAGGCACTGCATTAGATCTGAGGCAGCGGGGGGGAGGGGGGGGGGTTAACTAGGCAAATACTTGTGGGTGGTAAGAAAAAAGAATAATGGTTTGATGGGCTGCTAATGACGATGGCGCCTGCCAGGTGTGAAGATGAATGCCACCAAGAACGGTGGTTTCGATACCATGTTGAAATATTGGAATAATAATATTGCACATTCAATTATGGAGTGTGTGTGTGTGTCTATATATATACATATATATATATATATATATATATACATACATATATATATATATATATATATATATATATATATATATATATATATAGGAGAGATTCGTAATACAACTAGAAATAGAGAATGAAAACTAACATCTAATATAAATAAGAATAAAAGGTTGACTAATAATCAAACACTATCAAAACGAATACTACCATAAGTAATACTATTATTGTTGTTGTCTAACACTATTGGCTCGTCGGAACAAAGGTCGGTCTCCCATCAACCTAGACGGCTCTGATGACGAGGACCCAGTCCACGGTCGATCAGATGAAAGAAGACTAATTTAATTTGCTCGGGCTGTGCTTCCTCTCACGACAATATCGGTAGACAAATGGTTGAAGAAATGTGGTTGTTCAATCTTAGGGAAGAAGAGATGGAGAAATGAATGATAGAGAAGGAGGAGCTCGAACTTGTGGAAACTGACCTTTATAAGTTAACGGAATTCAAAAAATGTATTACGAGAAAAACAAAATGAGATTAAGGCTAAATACGATATGCTTTAGTTTTTTTTATAAATGTAATGTACTTTTTTATTGAATGAATTTTTTATTTAATGAATTATTGCAGTTTAAATTTAATTAATTAATGAAATCTTATTAATTTACTTTTATGAAGTGTGTATTAAAAATTGAAAAAATAAAGGTTTGTAGCCTCAATTTGAAGCCCAAGCTTCAAATCCATTTGCAGTGAAACTGTGAGATAAGTTAATATGAGATTAAAGCTAATGTGACGGAGAGAAAATGTTTGAAGCCCGGAGCTTGAAAAGTATTTCCAATGTTCTTAAAAAATACCTCCAGTTCTTGATGTTCTATTTTCTAATTTCATTTACTATTACTTCTTCCGTCCTTTTAAAGATAATACTCCCTCCGTCCCATAAAAAAGTTCTCATTTTGATCTATTTTTGGTCAAACAGTTACACGCTTTGACCATAAATTAAATATAATCTAAATAAAGAAATGCTAAAAAAATTTGAGATATCAAAACTAGATCCTAAAATAAATTCAATTATATTAAATTTATTTTACAAATTGATTACACAATTTGTAATTAAAGCGTGTAAATAATATTTGACTAAATACCATTCAAAATGAAAACTTTTTTGTGGAACGAATGAAGTATTTCTTATTTCATTTTCGAGACGTCTTAAAAAGTTTTGTCTTTTCAATTTTGTAAAACTTTACGTAGGTTGCGATTTTTCTCCTTTGCTGTCTCACTTTCATTTACATCATTTTACTTTTCTTAAAATTGTATGAAAGGAAATGAAGAGTTTTTTTTTTTGGAATAGAGGGTGTATTTTCGAACAAAAAAAGATAAAAAAGTAAAACCGGCCGGCGATTAGTTAGGCTGTTTTCCAATTTCCACCTTGTTTTTTTAAAGGTTGCTTTGAAATTTTTTATTTAATCGTATAGTCGTCTTTGGTACGGCATTGATTTCAATTTTTTTTAGATCCCTCCAGAATTCAAACTTTCAAACATTAAAAATGGAGTTTCCCTCCGAAATTTGCGAAGCTTACCAAGCACATTTCCATTCTATAAAACCGCAACCATCGAAATCCGATCTCCACCACTGGCCGCCGTACGCAGAGCTGCAGGTCTCTCTCCTTAATCTCCAGCTATCGTCATGTCTTCATCCGCCTCCTTCAAGTACCATGTTTCTAGCCCTGTCCCGGCGATTCCCAAGTCCGGCGAAATCCACGTGATAATCGGCCCCATGTTCGCCGGCAAGACCACCGCTCTCCTCCGCCGCATTAAATCCGACTCTAACAGTGGCAGGTTCGCAGTAATACTCAGCTCTCTTCTTCAATTTCAATCTCAATTAGGTTTTAGAATTCAAGCCGATTGATCATTTTCTCTGTTTGAACCGGGAAACAGAAGCGTCGTGATGATAAAGTCGAGCAAGGACACCAGATATGCGGTGGATGAAGTTGTGACGCACGACGGCACCAAGTTCCCCTGCTGGGCGTTGCCGGATCTCTCTTCCTTCAAGCACAGATTCGGATCTGAGGCCTATGAAAAGGTTCGCCCCGATTCTCTTCTAGATCTGGCGAATTCGTCTGGTTTTTGTCTAACAATTTCAAGTCTCGTAATCGATGTTCTTCGTGGTTCAGGTGGACGTGATCGGCATCGATGAAGCCCAGTTCTTCGAGGACCTGTATGATTTCTGCTGCGAAGCTGCAGATCTGGACGGCAAAACCTTGATTATTGCCGGCCTTGATGGCGATTATTTGAGGTATATTACATTCATATCCTCTTCATATGACAACTGCACATTGCAACCCGAATCGAAATCAAATTGAATTGGCTTTTGACAGGAGGAGATTCGGGTCAGTTCTGGACATAATTCCCCTGGCCAACACAGTCCAGAAACTGACAGCGAGGTGTGAGATATGCGGGAAGAGAGCCTTCTTCACCTACAGGAAGATCGACGAGACTCGGACGGAGCTCATAGGCGGGTGCGACATGTACATGCCGCTGTGTCGCCAGCATTATGTGAATGGAATCGGGCCTGCGAAAACCGTGTCTGATGAAGAAGACTCCCACCAGAAGAAGGTGTTGCTGCTGCTGGAATCCTCCATTGAAGTTGCACCATTGTCTTGAAACTTTTGTGTATAATATACCGAGTAGTATTTATTCAGGTGGGGATTTAAAGCTTTGTCTTTGTAATCTTTAATGTTGTTTAATGTGTGTAAAAGCTCTTCTTAAAGTTCTCATAATCAAGAATCAAGATATATGTCTAGCCTCTATGTAATCCTCCCTGACTTGTGAGGTACTTTCTACTGGTTTTAGTAAAGAATTTTACTCTTTCATGAATTATGAAAGTAAAAGTAGAGTAATCAATTAGTATGGCACAAGAAGTATATGCACTCTACAACTTTGGTTTCCAAGGCACTCCAGTGGTACACGGAATGGCTTGAAGTTAGAAAGAAATAACACAACTATGATGATAGGAGAGCGAAAGGTAATACGAGTATGAGATGGAGACCCCCGAACTTCGATGTGTTAAAATCTAACGTGGATGCTAGTTTCGATTTGAGTACAAGTGTGGCAAAGGTGGGGATGGTGCGTGATGAGCAACATTTTATCGGGGGGTGCTTCGTGGAATGGAGATTGTGGAGAGTGCTTTAATGGCTGAGGCAATGGGGCTTCAGGAGGCTTTGTATTGGCTTGGAGCAATGTTTATGGAGGAGAGCATAATGGCCTAGATGGATAATCAGATACTTTTCAAAGCCCTCCAAGCTGAGGAGGATAACACATCATATTTCTCCGGAGTCGTGAAAGATTGCAAAGTAGTTATCTTAGAGTTTCATTCTCTCTTGGTCTTTTTTTCAAACAAAACAACGAATTAGGTGGCTCATTGGCTAGCTGAGCATCTGACTCTATGTCTGAATTTTTGGAAGGGTCTCTATCCCTTCAAACCTTATTTCTGATGTTTTAACACTTGATATGAATGAATATAAATATAGCTTTCATTTAAAAAAATCACTTTCTCGATTCTAAATCAAGTTGCATATTTTTTATTTATAGGATCAAATTTTATTCATTTTTTCCTCTATTTTCATTACTAATTTGATAAAATAATAGTGATTTTACCTCTTTTTTTTGAAGTCAAAATTCATTCCATTAATTTAAAGAGTTTGGGATACAATCAAATGGAGCAAAGTCCCAAGACGAACAGGATTGTTGACCAAAAGCCTCAGAGGCTAAAATATGAGGGAAATTAAAATGACGAGAAATAAAATCACAAGAACAAAAACTGAAGGATTGCATAAGCGATTTGCACTGAAGAATAGTCATCGCTTCAAAAGATGAACCCACGAACCGATGATCACTGATGGAGCGTATTAAAGTCATGCAATCTGAAAAAACCTGGACTCTTGGAACGGATTTGTCTTTGATCCAAGTTAAAGCTTCCTTGAGAGCCAAAGCCTCGGCCATAAGCGGGTTCAAACAGAAATTGAGTTTACCATTGATAGCCTTCNGGCGTACTTTAGGTAGGGGAGAAGCACAACCACCACATGGGTGCTACCATGGGTGCACCCATGCTTCGCACAGACAAACACAGACGATAATTGTCTGTGTCGCACAGACAATTATCGTCTGTGTGAAGCATGGGTGCACCCATGGTAGCACCCATGTGGTGGCACCCTAGCATTTTCCCTATCACATATGGTTAACCCATATTCAAATCCTATTCTAACAATGACCAAACAGAATCACCATGCTAATGATGAAAGTCTTGCATGGAACAGGGACAGAATCACATTCTTTTAACCAGATTGAGATTATAACTCAATTTAACCTCTCTCATCCTAGTGTCACTAGGGGACCTAGGGGTTGGGGTATAACCTTTTTTTTTAAAAAAACACAACCTATGTGTACACATTCTCTATATCAAGATAAAGACTAAGCACCCTATCCAAACTGATTCAACTAGTAACTTTCACATTGACAAAATAATTTATATAAAAAAACATACCACACTACCATGAAAATTCAAAGTTAGTTAACATCAAACCAACGGAAAACAATCAAAGCTCCTGCACCGACCCCCTTTCGTGGGGTTGCGTTCAATACGGTGCACTTATAGACACTATATCAATCGATGCAAACTTGATGAAGAAACTCGCATACTTCAACTCTCGACTCCATAATCATCAAAGTCAACTGATAAAAAAAGGCTATATAATACAGAACATTAGTACAAGAGAAAATAGAGAGTTACCAAGGAGGATTAGAGCCGTCTTCTCTAACAGAAGGAGACCTGGAAGCAGCCAAACTACCATCTCTTCCTAACCTTGACAAACTCCTAGGAGTGCCCAACCCAGGACTTGCTCCCCGATAGCTAGCCCTCAAAGATTCATCCAAAGAGCGTGATGTCTTGGCTATGGCGTTCCTCACAAACTTCTGTGCAGCTGGAGATAGAGTCCGTCCACTTGGGCTCACACTCCCCCCTCTGACAGGAGAGTGCAATGGTGGTTTCTGAAACATCTTCGACCTCTCCCTGAGTTTCCTTGAAGCTTCCCGAGATAAAGAATGTGCCTTGATATCTCTGGAAGCTGGCATTGGTACGTTATAGTGGGGCCCTTCTCCATTGCCACCAATATCAACAGGGGTGTCTTCTGGTTCCAACCTTAGTGGGGTCCCTTCAATTTCCCCCCAAGTCATGAAGGGGGACCCATCTACACCCGGTGCAGGAGATGGAGTCATAACGTAACTGTAACCGTTTTCGGCTTTCTTCCCGAACTCTATATAGAATTGGTTGGGAGTCTTCCTAAGATCTTCTAGATCATACTTCTTCGATTTGTCCCCACTTCTGTCTATGAAAGGAAGGGGTGTAGCTCCTGGAACAGGTGAATAAAGAACAGCCACCGTATCATCCTCTTTCATACAAGTTTCTGTAGTTTTGCCGTGAAAACGGGTGTTTGGCCTATTAATCTCCTTTGTCATACCCTTAAGCCTTTCAGCCAATTCTTCTTCTGTCAACGGCGCCTCCCCTCTATCAGCCGGATGGTACATGAGAAGATTCTTTGCAGTGTACTTCCACCCTTCCAATGTGGCAATCGGTTGATCCGAAGTTCCATATCCATCTGTGGAGACCTTCTCTCTTTTTGAACCCTCAATCAGATTCACATCCCCCTCCTCCTTTTCACCTCCCATCAAAAACCCGTACCGCTCCTTCCTCTTCCTATTAGTTTTCTCAATAATCTTAAAGAAGCTCTCATTGTCCTCGCTGGTGTACCTTCTCATGAAATCATCTAACGGCAAGGACGTATCCACCTCACACTCACCATTATCACCATCAGTATTCACAGAAGGGTTACAACTATGACTAGCACTACCGGCCACGCTCGGGGTGGGGGGCTTGTAAACATCCTCAAAGGGGGTGATTGAATTTCTGAAAAATGTAGAGCCAGGAGTCCGAGATTTACCTACAGTGTCTGAACCTTGTGCTTTTCCACGGCGGCGCTCGATAATCTTCAGCTGTGCATCGCGAATCTGAAGAGGATCTCCCGTGCGGACAGCCTCGAGCCAGTCGAGTCGATCCCGGAGCTTAGGGATGTCAGGGAAGAAATCCCGCTCGATGATCTTCTCTATGGACGCGACATACGTGTCTTCGTCTAGAACTTTGTGCCGGCGATTTCTGGAGGCCGAATTCGCTGTGATCCACGAAGAAATGCTACCGTTCTCCTTCTGGACAAGAGCGGAAGAATTAGGGTTTGGGGTTTGGGCGTTTTGGGATGGGGACGGCGACGGAGTCGAGATGTGGCGTGGGGAATGGCCCGGAGAGAGCAACATATTGGGCGACGATCGGAGATTGCAGACGTTTAAGGTTATGGGCGGTGCAAAGATCGCCGGATATTATGACTTTGATGATCGGAATGAGCATCAGGGAGGATTGACTTATAGGTTCTAATTGATCTTCCATTTGTCCCCACCCTTCCATAACTACTCATTTATATTTGATTTTTATTAACTTGTTTTTTTTTAATTTTCTTGCCTATTTGAGTGGTTATGGAGAGGACGGGGGCAAATAATTGTTGGTTATCCGAATAATTGTTCAACTCTCACACGTTAAAAGATATGTAATGCAATGTCAAGTTTGGTTGATACTAGTTTCTAATAGTGTGAGCGTGTTACGATATTTGATTTGTATGGATGTCGTACTAAATATTTCAGTTTGATATAAAAGTTTACATCGTACCGATCTTGATCCCGAATTATCGATTTGGTATGTTTCAGTAAAAATTGAGTTGAATATATATATAGACATACACACATGCCTAATTTATACTTTGAAATACATAAAACTTTTTATTTTGGAAAAATTGAAAGTACATTCAAATAAAGAAAAATAAACAATTAAAAAAGAATAATATGCAAAAAATGCTTATAAAACTTAGTTTAATTTATACTCCGTATTTCATATTTCACAAACAAAACACAAAGAATGATAACAATATAGTATTTCAAATGTTGTTAAATTTTTAATATTTATCTACAAAAACATAAAATTTAAATATATAAATAAAATATTATTTATAATTCATCTACACTTGAACCAACTTTTCAAAATCAATTTAGTTTTAATGAAGAAATATAAAATTATTATTATTTTTATAACATATTTGTATATATATTCGGTTCAGGATTTTTTGGTATGAGAAGTTGTCTCGTACCGATCCCAAATACCGGACCGACCATTCGATTCGGTATGGTACGGTTCTTTTTCGATATTTTATCGGTTTGGTATTTTTTTGTTTACGGTAATCTCGGTTTTTTCGAAAAATTTTGGGATCAGTTCGGTACTTGCTCATTCCTAATTTCTACAACACTCGCTAGTCTGAAGTTTAGTGCCCTATTTACAAAATTGATGATTCTACTTTTTAATCCTTTTCTTAAATCCTCCACTCCACTCCCACCCTAGTCTAACCCTTGTACCCCATCTTAGAAGCGTAGCCACATATTTGGAGAAAGTTTATGGTGGGGGGAGAGGGGGGAGGGGGGTTATAGAGTGGATTAGGAGAGCACGAACCATCAGTTTTGCGAACGGAACACCAAAGTTGTTCTAAAAATATAATAACATCGCTAGTGGCAACGCTAGCCAGTGTCAACGGAATCGTGCCCTCAATACAAATATATATGGGGTTTGCTAGGGGTATCACAAATGGTGTATCTCAGTTATACTCCATCCTTCTCACAAATACACATAAGCACCCACTGTATGTGTTCCACACAAACACCCATCGTCTCTATTTCTCACAAATAGTGAATTTTTGTGTATGTTTGTTAGAAGGGTGGTGTACACTCAGGCACACCACCTGGGAGATGGGGTACCTCTACATTTTTTCAATATATACTCATTTCAAAATGTTGCTCTCCATAATAGGACATTCCTAATACGACTGGTCTTGATATTCTTTCATATTTTTAGCATTTTAATATTTCAAATTTTCTGCCAAATAAACATTCTACAATCTTTTATTCTATTAAATTTTATTTCTATTTAGTCAGTTATCTAATATACAATTGTATTATGTATTGATTTTTCTATTAAATTTCTTTATAAATATAGTTAACCATTAAAAAAATCAACATACACTACTACAAAAAGGCCTTTTAACAGCCCACTTTTAACACCGGATTTTTGTAAATGGCTGTGAAAAGTTAAAAATTGAGTGTTGTACTGTACAATTTAAGGGGCGCTACACTTTCACTAGTTTTTGCAGGGAATATTATAAACTCTCTAAAGCTGCCCCTAAATTCATTTCCCGTCTCCAAGTCTAGCCCTAGCCTCTTTCTCAACCCAACACTGTCCGCTAGCCTCTTCTCCAGCCGCCGCCAACGAACACTGATATGCCGATGACGATATCATGTCTGCGCCTCCCCTTCCTTTTGGTAGTCATGCCTTCTAGTTCGTTCGCTTCAATTCAACCTTCGATTAAGGTATATGTTTCATTTCCATGTGCAAGAGTCTTTCTTCAATTCTTTCCATTTCGAATCTAAACATAGAAAAACAAAAATGTTTGCTATGGTTTTTTAGATTCAGAACCCCATGATTTCAATTTCAAGCACTGCATATACCAATTGGACTCATTCCAAAATTGACGAAGACTCACAATATTTCACAATTGGGTATTTTATTTTGTTTCTCTATGCCTTCAATTTTTTGACTTCCACTTTTAAAAATACTTTTGTTACTTTTAAATTTTAAATAAATGAAAGAATGAGCCACTTTTACTTTGGATGTTCCTTTTTTTACTTCGTAGGTTAATATGGGCATTTGGACTAAACATTCAATAAGTGTTAAGATGAAATTGAAATGTTTGAGGTGATTTGGGACTCTTGAAGATAGTATAACCGATTAATAGGCCAAACACTTAATTTCTCAACCTTTATTAGTTTGTTTTCTTTTCTTGATAAGTTTCCTATATTCAATTTTGGAATTTTAGGAGGGGACTAAAACTACCTTGATTAACAAACTGCGAAAGTTCCTTCTCAGGTTTTTCAATTTCAATTTTTCTATCCCAGATATGGTATTGCAGTTGAAGCCACGAGGTTTAAGGTATAAATAGTGATAATTATTTTGTCAACTCAATTCTCTCTTTTTTTAGCTGGATAAGATGATAATTAAGTAGAAAAAGTAGTTATGAGGTTATCTTTTTGTGGATCTGAAATAACTGTAATGAAGAGCAAAGAGTCAAATACAATATCATCCTTTATCCTTTATGTGTCTGCACATGTAGAATTTCCTTTAATTTATTAAGAAAACTTTTTATGGGTAAACTACTACATTTATTATTTAAGTTAGTTTAGCAAGTGCAACATGTTAAACTACTTCAGTGCAACATGTTTTTTATCTTTTAAACTAGGGGATGCTTAATCTACTTACTGTATGTGCTCACTATTTCTAGCTGTAAAATCTAAAGTGAACTTAGGAACCCTTGCTAGCGACTCTGCTTGAACAGAAACCAAGCTACTAAATTTTTCTTTCTATCATTTTAATATTTTTACACACTGGAAACTCGATATTGAGAGCTGACTTTGAAGAACTGTCTTTCTTTGGTTCAAGATATTATTTAGGTCATTATGTTATGGAAATTTTGAAGATGCTTTGGTTGGGAAGCTGCTTGAATGGAGTCTACTGGATTGTTGTTTTGTTTTAAATTGTTATGTATTGTGTTAATTTGGTTTATAGGATGCTTTAGCAGCATCATATGTTTTTATTGTACAGGTTTTGGGATCGACCCCTTTTTCATTATATGAAAAGAACTTTGTATATGGGGTTGCCTCACTACGGAAATGGGCCTGCTGTGGAGTACACGTTCTGCTTGGTGTGGGGAGTCCTGTGCAATCATCTACGACGAAAGGTTATTCCGTACAGAGCTACTGGACGATGCTAGGCAGTGATGGAAGACCTGTAATTATTTCTGGTAGTCTAGGCTTGAAACTGTCTCTTGTGCACGTAACCATTATTATGGTTAAGCATTTGACATTGATGTATTCATTTGATTTGAGTAATAATAATTTACATGTTACCCGTTAAAGAAAAGTTATAGCTCAAAAAAATGTGTACGATTGTAATCTTGTAGTATGTAGTATCAAATATTTTTATTTTTAAAATTTTTTTTTTTTAGACAGTGGATATTTATCCGCTATGAGAAGCGGACTTTAGACAGCGGACAAATATCCGCTGTCTAAAATACTGACTTTAGACAACGAATATTTATGTGCTGTCTAAAGTCTGGACTTTTCCCACCGGGGGCATATACAGCGGTTAAGAACCGCTGTGTAAAGCTTAATTTATCGGCTGGGAAAGGTGATATGTGTAGTAGTGATAAAATTTGAGAAAACTTTATAAAACTAACAAGCTTAAAATAAATAAAATCATTTAAGTAACACACATAGAAAAAAATTCATAAAATAAAATTAAAAGCATAATAAATCAAAATTGTATAAATAGACATAATTGAAATGTAAAATGAATCGATTTTGGAATATCCTTAAGAGAATGCAAAACATAAAAAATTTAAAATATATGACGGAGGGTAACCCCGTGTCAGCCTAGGGCTGACGTCAGCTGGGCCCCTCGTCATAGGAAAGAGCGCCAGGCTCGGCTCGATCATACCTGGGCGGCACACGAGCTCGACTCGATCATACCCGCTTGGCACACGAGCTCGGCTTGGTCTCCCAAGCCCGGCCCGGACTGCATGACAACAACGTGAAGATAGCGACCTGCGATGGAGACCTGGCGATAACGATAGGATGAAAAGGACAAGACTAAGGGAAAGGTGACATCCGCTAAGCGATGAACCTCGATCAAAGGGCTTTGACCAATTGTATTGTATACCCTATAAAAGGGCTGAGACCCCTCATTATAAAGGATAGATTTAAATTTTTGAGTGAATATACTCCTACTTTGCATTCTCTCTCTCTAAACATTATATAATTTAATATATTCGGTGGTTTATCGCCACCAATATAAAATTGTATAAAATAAAGATTATACAAATAAAAGCATAACAAAATAAAATTATATAAATAGACATAATTGACAATTGGTTTTTTCGATCAGGGAGGATTGGTATTTGGGAGAACTTTGTATTTAAGACTAAAAAACTATTAACATTGAAATATTAGTGCTATGTTTTTTAAAACCAGAATAGAAGTTTACACTGTCATTATTATTACACTACCACATTCACTACAGTTTTACATTGCAACTGCCACAGTATCACTAACACACTGTCATCCGTCGTTGTCGGCCACCTAGTGTCGGCGTTGATCGCCAGCTATTGACTGATCACACTGTCATATTACTATCACCACTTTTTCTATCACACTGTCAGCTCGTACTCTTATAACACACTTCCATTATACTCATATTTTGGTCTTAAAAGACTTAAAATCTCGTTTTGATATTTTATACTTTTTTATTTTTATCTGGGGAGATTTCTTTTGCATTTTTTTATTACTTCTTTAGTCTCAATTTAAATCATATATATCGATTTACGATGTTTAGGTAAAGTTATTTTCAATACAAATTAATAGATGATTAGAGCCGAATTAAAAAACAAACTTCATATATTAAAAAACTACATCAAAAGTGTTACGAAATAAGGCTAGGGGTGACATAGTTATATATTATTTTATCACATTATCACAAAAATATAGAAATGAAATGAATGAAATTTAATTCGACCGTGCAAATTTGGGACGGAGAGAGTATAAAAATATTTGTTATTGATTACACGTATCTAATTTTTATTAAAACTCTCTAAAAACTCCCCATCATATTGGGGATGCCCTTAGGGCTTCTCATAAGAGTGTGAGGAAGGATTAGGGCTGGGTTTGGAAAATCAAAAAGCGAATCGAAATTGATCGAAACGTGATAGAAAAAAACTAAAACCGAATGTAAAAAAATCAATCCGAACTATTGTTGTTTGATTCCGTTTTGGTTTTTACTTTTAAAAAAACCGAACCGAACCAAATAAACTGAAATTATTTATATGCTTCATTTTATTTATATAAGTATATGTGATATGCATAAAAATCATATAAACAAAAATGTAAATAAATTACTAGTCGATTACAGTTTTTTCTTAAATATTAATTAAACATTTTAACTATATCATAAACTTTAAAAATCTAAGAATATAAACACCAATAACTAATCCTAATATAGATTTATATAACATTAAAAATTAATATGAGTAGTTAACATATTTACACAAAAAAACTTTGATGTTATAATGAAAATGAAAGTATTATATCAAGAAACACAAATTCTCTGTAATTGATTTTACATACGATGTCTTTAAGAGTATTTGAAATCTTCTAGATGTTTGTTAGACACTTGACACATTTTTTGTATGTAAAATTGAATCGAATGAAACACTAACCTTTCATTTGGCTTTTTTTTTGGTGTGTAAAAATCAAGCAAAAAAACTAAACCCAAACTTACGTATTGTCATTGCTTCGTTAAGTTAGTTTTTATACAATTTTGAATGCTTATAAATTTTTACTTTTAAAAACCGAAAAAACCAAAAAAATATTTAAAAAATAAAAATCACATAAAACCAAACTGAATATCCAACAATTTACATATTTTTTATGCAAAATTGAACAGGAATGAACCACCAACTTACCTTTCGTCTTGTGTTTGGTTTTAGTTAAAAATCGAATCATCAAAACCGAACCCACCCTTAGGAAGGATCTTAAGATCCAATACTTCAGATGTTATCATTGGGATGCATATAATATGAAAAAAGTCTATAGGTGCCTCTTTGAATTTCTAAATTCACTCTCAAGACTTTAACTCAATCCATCTCATAAAAATCAAATACATGTAATCAATAATAACTATTTTTAGAAATAAAAATTATTTACAACTATTTCGTAATAAAAAATCAATCCTCTCAATTGGGAAAGAATCCAATCATCAATTATGTCTACTTATATAATTCTATTGAAATATTTGCACTAAATGACACTAAAACTTAAGTCATTTTCCTAAATAGCACTTAAATTGTTTTATTCCCTAAATAGCACTTAATAATGTCCATAATGTCCTGTGATGGTAAATATTTGCTTGAATAATGACTAATGCATAATGACTAAAAGTGCTACATTGGGAAGAAAAACACATGTGGTGCTATTTGGAGAAAGTCATTATGTTTTTAGTGTTATTTAAGAAAATTTCTCAATTTTATTTTGCTATGATTTTTTTTGTAAGTTTTACTTTATGCAATTTTATATTTAAATTTTTTTATATTTGACATTCTTATAAGGAACAACTAAAATGGACACATTATATATTTCAATTATGTCTACTTATGAAATTATGTAGAAAAAATGGAGAGGAAATAAATATCTCGTATGTAGGAGAGGAATAGAGGGATTATATTCAATATTGGGCCCACTTGGTATCAGCGTTAGAGATTAGTGTTTACATTTTAAAAAAGAGTATCTGACGGTAGCTTTTAGCAATTAGCTATATCATTAAAATTTAATCCAAAACGCTAACGTTAATCGAAAATATCGTTCCCAAACAAGGTCATTGTACGGAGTATTGGAATTGATATTTTGTATTAAAAATATTCATTTCCTCTAAAAATTATATTCTCACTATTAACAATGTAAGAAATTATCTCTTTTAAAATCATTTTATTTACAAATTGATTTAGAAATAAAAATACAAATTGCATACTCCCTCCGTTCTTGAAAACTATTCCTGTTTTGACTTTTTTGGTCAAACAGTAACACTCTTTATCCACAAATTAAGCATGATTTATAAAAATATACAGTATAAAAATTTGATCTATCAAAACTATATCATAAGATAAACTCAATTATATTAAACTTATATTATAATTCAATATAGTGGAGTGTGGTGACAGTGTGTGGTGGATCATTGGTCAATGGTGTTCAACACCGATGACCAGTGGCGGAGCTCCGACGACCCACGTACGACGGTGCTCCAACAATTGACGACAGTGCTCTAGTGATAGTGTGGCGGCCCTTTTGTGGCAATGTGTCGTGGCAATATGGTAGTGTGAAGTGTGAGATTGCAATATGAACTCCTAGTTAGGTCACAAAAGAGCACTACACTTATTTTAGTATTTTCATCAAAATATAATCTTATTTTGTAAAATTGGACCTAAAAGTATTGAATTTATTTATAATTCAATTTATTTAAATAATAGTACAATTTTTTTAAAAACAAAATTTATATATTAAGAGACTACATCAAATGCTCTATAAAAAAATCATTTGACATGATTGTCATTTAAAAGAATTGATTCACGAATATAAAAAAATAAAAAGTTTGAGTAGTGAATAAGGGAACATGACAATAATTTTGCAATGGAGAGAATGATGTAAAACCAGTAGTTCATAATATATAGTGCCAAAGAGTTTTGCTTCCATGATCCAAAGGTCTAGACCTGAAATGTGTGTCTTTTCATACTTTTAATATGCTGACATGAAGATCTTTTATTTTTTTCAAAGAGTAAATCATAAATGATGTTTATATACTAAGGTACATAAAATGAGTGTGGACCTTTTTATAAAAATAAATTTCATTAATCCAACATATAAACAACAAAATCAGGAGGAACAAAATTCCAATCACCACCTGCTTAGCTAATGTATGCGCTACCACATTGCAATTTCTAAAAACAAAAGAAACGAAATAGACACAAACGATGTCAAGAGAGACTTACACTCATCAATCAAAGAACCGAAATAAAAGGCATATCAGACACACCACTTTGATTGATTGCCTCCAACGCACAGAGGCAATCTAAAAAAATAACAACTTGGAGTCTAAAAATTCTTGAGCCATGAAAAAGCTTCCCGGCATGCCATAGTTTTTGCCAACAATGGATCTTGTGTGCACAACATTCATCGAGAAAAAGCTGCTTGGATATCCTTTGAAGAGGAGAAAACCACTCCCCAGCACCAACAAAACATGAAGCAGGGAACAAAGATGCATAAAAAACAGTGGACAACTTCTGTAATTTATATATTAAGAGACAACT